CATCATTCATGACCCTCTGAAATGACATTGGTGCATTTTTGAGGCCAAAAGGCATTCTGTTGAACTGAAATTTGCCCTTGTGGGTTACAAATGCTGTTTTATGCTTTGAGCTTTCACTAAGAGGTAATTGCCAAAACCCACTATGCATGTCCAAAACTGAAAATATTGTTGCTTTTGAATGCGCTATGCAATCTATAATGTCATTTAATTGTGGAAGAGGGTAATGAATTGCTTCTGTGTTTTTATTGAGCCTTCTGTAGTCTATTGCTAACCTGTACTCATTTGACTTCTTTTTCACTAACACAACAGGGCTAGCATATTCTGACACAGAATGTTCAATTATGCCATATTCTAACATTTGGTCACATTGTTTGTCAATTTCATTTTTCTGTTCTTGGGAATACCTATAGAATCTTTGCTGGACTGGCTTATCTGATTTTGTTCTTATAACATGCTCATATGTACTATTTGCACAGCCTAGCTCATTCATGTTTTGAGAAAAGACATCTTTATTTTTATCAATGAAAGTTATCAATTCTGCCTTTTCCCCTTCTGGTAATTTACATTTCTCTAGATTGATACCTGATGTTTGTACTTCACTACCAGTAGCTACATTATTTACACATGCTGTTAGTCTTGGTTCATTAGTAGTATATGTACTATGTTTAATAGGATCTCCCCTTTGTAAAATGACAACTTTTTGTGTGAAGTCTATGAGTGCTTGACTTTGTGAGAAGAAGTCCTCACCTAAAATTACATCATGATTTGCACTTTTGAGGATATGCATTGGTTGAACGTACTCAAATTCTTCAAATTTTAGAGGAACATTTGCCACACCCAGTACTTCTAGCTTGTGAGTTTCTCCCCCAGCCCCATATAACTCAATATTAGTTGGACTGATAGGACATTTCTTGTGCAAGTTCAATTTTTCATAGAGTGCTAATCTCATACAGGATTGTTCTGCACCAGTATCTACCAAGGCTTTGATATTATTGTCAACTATGTTTGTATGAATAATTATGTTTGAAACTGATCTTTGCAAATTAACCTTGACTGATTGAACTGCAGGGATGGCCACCTTGCCACTATCACTTTTCACTTGTTTAAACTTTTGATTGTCAACTTTAGTTTCAAGGTGCCCATCCCTATGAGGAACAGGCGCGAGTCCTCATTTAGCAACGTTTCGACACATATACGAATAATGCCCCCCGCGACCACACTGAAAGCACTGCTTAAACCTAGCATAACAATTTAATGAAAGGTGGTTTGACTTACCGCACCTCTCACACTGGTTTCTGCTTGATGAATTTTGCTGCATAAATTGTTGGTCATGTTGGGGATACCGTTTCTGTTGTTGCGTAAACTGTTGATTCCCAGGAAATTGGTTCTGTTGTTGAAACGGATTCTGCGGTTGATACTGCTTTTGCGGTTGGTACTGATTCTGCGGTTGATACTGGTTCTGCTGTCTTTGGGCACTTTGTTGCACTGGAAACTGGTTATTGTTGGCATAGCGTTGACCCATGGCATCGACTGTGACTGCAGCAACGGATAGCTTATCGACTTTATCCGTGAGAATTTTAATCGAGGCTGCTAACATCTCTGGCGCTGAATCTTGGGGCATGTTGCTATGAATCCTTGCGAACTTAACAGCTTGTTCTAAATTTTCAGGTTCTTTGAGCCTTACAAAGTTCTTTGTAGATGTATTCAATCCTTGGACAAAGAGTTCCTTAACATCCTCAGCATCCTTTTTTAGTCTGCTGGTATAATACATGAGCTTGCTGTGGAATTCATCCACAGACATATCATTTTGTTTGAGAGTATCCAGTTTATCCAACAACTCCCATCTTTCCGATTGTTTGGGTGGGAACCTTTCTTTAAGTGCTTCCGTCAATTCCTCCCAGTCGTTCTTTGTATTTTCCTCTAATTGTTCAAAGTATTTTGCTGCTTCTCCTTTGACTAAAAGTGGGATTAAACTACATTTTCTTTGTTGGTTCCAGTTCTTTAAATTTGCGAATGTGTCAATAGTGTTTAACCAAATAATAACGTTTTCTTCTGATTTTCCATGGAATTTGTCCAATATTGATAAATCCATTGTTGTTAAACCTCAGGCAGCTCCACCAAAATATGACCGGGCTTTCTTTATATTAATTGTACACAATAGTGTGATGTTTTAATTTCTATCTTTTATTTATTTCACTTGTTTTCACTTCTAATCTACTGCTAAATCTAGTTATGTCTTTTTGAAGTCTAGGCCGAAAAGTGACCCAAATCTCACATGGCATATAGTATATTCTTCAAAACCAGACATCACATGATCACTTCAAATCTGTTATGTAAAAAGTTTAACAATGGGAAGACTGCTTCAAATCCTAATTATAATCCAAGATATAGAAATGTAAATTAAATGTAAATTAAAGAAACATTTGTAAGTCTGAAGATGCTCTGAACAATTGTAATGATTGCATATTTAATGTGAGAAACTGACCAGAGATATCCCAGGTGTACTACATGACCTGTTGTTTATCTAAATGCTTTTTGTATCATGTTTCCATTAATTAATTTACAAAGTAAAAACAAAGTAAAAGTATAAGATATTAATTATAAAATACAACATGAAAATCACTCCGTCACATAACCAATCAATGAGCCAGGATTCTAATTAGGATCTGGATAATAGAGATCGCAACGGTACTGAAAACCAGTACCGGTAACCGTCACGCTAATAACCGTACCGTTACCGAAATACCGGTAAAAATATGTAAGATAAAATGCCAATGCGCTGCCACCCCCACTTTGTTTCTAACTCTCTCCGTAGCTTCTCAAGTCTATATGCATACATGGTCACGCGGTACTAACTTCGACCGTTAATTTGAATTTTTGACCTACCAGATGCTTGAAAATCAAGGATTGCGAGTCTCATACTGCACTGTTTTTCTTCAAATTTATACCATTAAAAGCAAAACAAAATTGCATTTCTGTCGGTGCATTACTTTATTGTAAAGAGTCTCTTGTTCTAGCAGCGTTTTGGTCCCCAGCTGTTAGAAAGCCTTCTTACAGCTGGGGACCAAAATGCCGCTGGAAGTAGGGGCTCTGTTTAAGAGAATAATGTACCAACAGAAAGGGATTTTTGTTAAAATCCTTGATTTTCAAACATCCGGTAGGTTGAAAATTCAAATTAACGGTTAGTACCGCGTGATGGTGCAAGACCGATCTGAACCCATACTAATGAACTTCACGAAATAGTATGTAACTATCTTAGGAATCAAGATGTATTTTTAGTTTTAAATTAAATGTATTACACATTTCAAACCATTTCTCAACTGTATCAATAGCAAGCGACGTGCATTATACAGTTAATTCTGACTTATCAGCTTATAATATGATTGTAATTGTGTCTCATAAGCCTTTGGAGGCTGGCCGTATAATTACGGGTGACACTGTAATAAATAAATAAATAAATAAATAAATAAAATATACATGGGGATGGGGTAGGTAAAATATATTTTATTGGCTGTCTTGAGTTCTGGAAAGTAAACGGAGGAAAATATCCTGATGTGGTGAGTTTGGCTGAAACATATCAAGCTATTCTTGCGTCATCCGTGTCAAGTGAACGCCAGTTCAGTGCAGCTGGCAACACTGGGCACGCAACTGGGCACGACTTCAACCTGAGGTTGTCAATGCCTTGTTGTTCGTAAATGACTATTACAAACATAATTCAGTCTCTGGATCTGACGTTGACACTACAACTACACCGGAACTGCCAAACATAAATACAACCAAATCTGAGCCTGAGCATGAAACTACTACACCCGAACTGCCAAACATGGACATCACACCTGAACTGCCAAACATGGAAATCACATCTGAACTGCCAAACATGGACATCTAAATGTCTATGTAAATGTACGCATCGTGAAAGTGGAATTAAACGAAATAATTAAAAAACGACGTGTCTATATCCCCGGGGATTATCGTCGGTTAACCGGTTAATAATTTCAATACCGGTAAATGCTCAATTCCGTACCGAAACCGTATAACCGGAATTACCGTCAGCCTCTACTGGATAATATTGATTGGAAATAATTATTTTTGGTTAAACAGCGGGAGTTCATTAACTGTAGGGCTGGTGTTGTCTTTTTACAGGGGCCCCTTGGTGAGGAAGCAAGCTTCAAGTAATGAAGCCAATATAAACCCATACGAACCAATAAATATATTTCACTTTTGTTATTTCTTTTTATCTCTTTCCTCGAAGGACTGAATGAGGTCAGATTTTATGGAATTTCGTTAAATTATAGAGAGTTTACTCCATCTCAATATGTTTCAAACTAATGTATTCATTCTGTTCTGCGTCTAATTTCACGAGCAAAACTAAGTTCTCCTCGATTGGTCAAATTATGCTCCCGGTATGTAACAGTTTGTTACTGAGTAAATTGGTGTTTCATGACAACTCCCCTCCAAGGAAAATATTAACTAATTTTTATTTCTTATTTCATGTAGATATATTATACTCCTTTGATGATTTAGGATAATTATATGCTGTGCATGCAAAGGAAAGCATATGAAATCACAGGATTTAGCAATGCACATTGTTCTCTTGATCACAGGCAACATTTTGTTTCCTCCTGTTCATCGCTAAATAATTGTACAAATGGTTCAAATGATGATAAATACTGAATACAGCAAAACCTGTCTATGTGAACATACCAAGGTATCACTTTTTCTGGCCCTGAATTTAAATTCACATAACTGATAGCTTCGAAATGTAAACACAAGAGAATGTTAACACTGTTACCATGGTGATTTATAAACACCTTTTAATGTTTACATCTCAGAATGGGAATACCTCAGAATGTTAACACCTTAAAATGTGAACAATCTATAAGTTAACACTTTGGAATATGATCAACTAAATATGTTAACATTTTGGAAAAGTATGAAAAAAGTTCTATATAGTGTTCACATCACCACATTTCAGTAAATGAGAAATTCTCCGAACATACCTATTATCGGGAGATGGTATTGGATGAGTATATCCATCCCCTAAACTATTCAGACTGGTGGCGTCCCGGGGCCCAGGGGGGACGGGGTAGTTCCCAGTGACATCTGGCCTTTGTACAGGAAGACTAGTGGCTTTGGGGACTGTCCTGGGGAAGCCTGCTGGGTGGGGCGGTGTGGCAGGGGGGCGAGTAGTTGGAGGTGGCGGCCTGTTTGAATCTGGGGGCACTGGAAGAAACAAACATTATTTCAAATCATTATTTTGTGCATAAATCTACAAAGTCATTATTTCACAACACAGGCTTATTGATCTTAATATACCAAATGAATACTGGTAAACAAAACGACTTTGTTCCAAAGTTACCCTCTGGAGGATAACTAAAGTTTAAAACAGAGCATTTGAAGACAACAAAAATGAAAAATTATCCAACACACTATAAATGTATTTTACTCATGCGTACCTGCGATGCAACAGCTGATTTTACAAGATAAGTTCTCCATTCAGAACAATTATCTCATAATAACATAGGATTTATATTCAATCAATTAGATGGATTTTATATTTATCAATTAGATGGATTATCGCACTTATATCTCGCTGAGATTGCTGGTATATTATCTATATCAATTTTATCAGATTAGCTACTTATCACAAGTATATAACAATCATTTAAATTAATTATACTCAATAATTGTTAGTTATATATCCCGTTTGATCCTTATCGACACAATAAACATGATATCCTAGTATTTTATATCTATTTAATCCTATTGTGATTTTCTTATAATTCCAAATGAATATCCATTTGAAATCCTTTGATTGTATATCGTATCCAATAGAAGCTTAGATTGATATGTATATACATTTTTAATCCTACAATCCTCAATTTTTATCATTCCATTTGAACATACAATTGAAATATATTCAAAATTGTATATTTTATCCCATAAAAATATGTTTTAGGTCGGCATAATAAACTTTATTAAACTTGAAATTCTAATTCAGTATATCTATTTCTATTACTTCATCAAAACATCCATTTGAAATCCAGGTCCTTAAATTGTGTATTTATTTAACCCTAAAATGTTTTTGAGGTTGATATGGTAAACACGCATTAGTACAAATTACAGTCAAATATTTTAAATGGTTCTAAACATTTCATGTAGTGCCATTTAAAATCAGCGATCCATTTGAACGTTGCACAACTTGATGTTAACCAATAACTAATGTTCCGCTATTACACTTATATTAATCGTATCAATCAGTATATCTCCAAAATCAAACATGTTTTTGACGTGACTTGCTATGTTTTAGCCAACAGGTATCGATAGCATTGAGACCCGATTTTTGTGGTTTGATATTTTGAACATCTGACTTTTGATATGACTTTTTTATATGTGACTTGGCCCCGTGATAAAAACATTATTTTTTTCAAACTTTTTCATTCAATTCCTGTCTAGACTTAGATCAAAGGCATGATTTTCTTTCATTTCTGTATATTCAGGAGTTTCAATTTCAAAAAACCAACTTCATTTCTTAGGGATTTTTCCCTTTCCACACTTTTCCTTGCAAAGGATATGATCGCCCCAAAATTTTATTCATGGGAAATGTGGTGAGTTTACGAGTGATGAAAATGTTTAATTAACTCAGGTGAAATAGAAAAACAGTTTTTATGAGATTTAAACAACTTCGGGGTAAATTCGTCACATAGTCTGACCACATTATGAGCAGATTTGAACACAAACAGTATTGTAATGCCAAAGAGAGTCTAGCTGTTGTGAGGCATTTTCACACATTTCTGTCTACTTCAGTATATCTCTTTCAGTTTAATCTCTTTTTTAGTATAATTTCATTCAGTCTAATTTTTCAGCCTATTTTTCAGTATAATTTCATTCAGTCTAATTTTTCAGCCTATTTTTCAGTATAATTTCATTCAGTCTAATTTTTCAGCCTATTTTTCAGTATAATTTCATTCAGTCTAATTTTTCAGCCTATTTTTCAGTATAATTTCAGTCTAATTTTTCAGCCTATTTTTCAGTATAATTTCTTTAAGTATTATTTCTTTCTGGACAATTTCTCTCCGTACATTTTCTTATAGATTTGATTTAACATGTACAATAATCTAATTTTTTCTATGAATAAAAAGTTGTTCTACAGCTTTCTCTTAAAATTAAAACAATATCATATTGGGCATTTATATTTTAGCAAACAGAAACCTTCATAGGCAGATGTTTTCATAGAAAGTGTCAACTCTCACATACAACTGACTAATTGTTTAGAACCTGCATAAATCAACATATATATCTATATTTTCATAAAACCTTTTCATTTAGATTATCAATAGAAATTCATTCATTTTTAAAATTTTTCTCTCCTTTTCCTTTCTTGGTAGGGAATTTAGCCATGAACACACTGTCATTTTATTTCTAAGATACCTCCTATACAGTCTTCAACAGGTGAACTGAATAGGTGATAATTAGGTGCAATTTAGGTGACAATTAGGTGCAATTAACACAACAAGTACTTAGGTAACAGCTCATAACTCCTATGACACCAACTATCTAACATCAATTATTACTTTTATATATATTTTAAAATACATAGAACATATTATTAAATAAAACTCCCAGATAGAATTCTGTTTACTTAATTCATATTATTAGAAATGAAGTATCTTGTAATCTAATTTAACTTTTTAAAATGCCCTTATCATTAAATTAAACTCTTAGATGGAATTCTGTTCACTTAATTCCTTATTTCATATTATTAAATAAAATGTATTTTGCAATCTAATTTAACTTTTTAAAATGCCCTTAAGTAATGACACCTTGATTGTGTTGAAATTTATGCAGTAAAAGATAACCTTATCTTGTTTTGTTTCTGAAGGTATGAATTGCCCCCCCCCCTTGGGTGGGCCCTAAACAAATTTTGGGCGGAAAAAGGCCTTAAAACCCCAAAAAGTGAGTCTAATGGTCATTACTTGGCCTTTATAGCAGTGTATGAAGCATTATAAATTGTAATGTTCTGAGGAATTCAATGAGTCAAATAGATTATATTCAGATTTATTATCCAAGCAATCAATTAAACAAACACACAACATTTCACGATCAACATGTATACAAAAGATATCAAAATCCTTTGTTTGTATTTGTCCAGATGTTCAAGAGGAACACATTCTAGCAAACTTCCAAAAATCATTTTCCCTTCTAGGCTCTTCTATTTACATTATGTCACGATGCCATACTTTCATCTCTCAAATTCATGAGAATGGAGGGAAACAAGCCATAGGGTTCAAAGACAATATCACTTATTTGCGAATTTGTGACTCTAAAGCAGTTACAGTTAAATCAATTCCTCACTATATTGAATGCACTTGTAACTGATCACACAGACACTTTGTGACCACATTGACCGCTAACACCCATAGTTTTAACTCATTGTCACATTTTATGTTGACCATCACCAGATGTAATTTTGAGGTAATGATTATAACATTCTTCAGCATTAAAAACAGATGTTTGGAGGTACCACAGTGTGTTTTAGAATATAATTTTCAGAAAATATACCCAATATCCCCTCTGACTATTCATGTGATTTTACAATTTTGACAATGATCTTAATATATATCTTAAAGGATCTTAAGAGTCTCAAATGCATCTTTCATGACCTTTTATGGAAGTATTGGAATGGGGATATTGTTATGATTGCTGAACTACTACTGATTGGTTATATGTACAAGCTAGATTGATGAATCATCTCTCATTTATAGAGGGAATTTGACATTGCAGTCTAGCAAAGGGTACTTAGATTCATAACAATCAAATATTCATCCCGACTTTATAACAAGCCATTAACAAAATGAAATGTCACCAGGTAGAAAAGTGTAACATTTGTTACAGAAAGTGACACCAAGCACCAAAGTTGGTCACTGAAAATAACTGTAACAATATATCACCATTTCATAGTAATGACATAACATAATAAAGTAGTACTTCATGACAAGAATTAAATCATTGGACTTGTATTTAACTCGGCTGGGACTTATCCTTCTACTTACATTTACTGCCTACCCCCATCCTATTGCCGGAATTGATTCTCTTGATTTTGCCCTCGTTGTATTGAGGCAGACCCGTAGCATATGGATTGTGCATGATGGTTTCAATAGGTACGGGTATTTATCTACGGGGGTATTAACAGAGATTTCTTTCACTTTGGTTCATAAGTTAATACTTTCTGCTAGAATTCCATTTCGTTATTAGTCGTGAGATTATTACCAAGTTGCGGTTTTACTTTCGCGGATAGGTTTTAATTCATAAATGAAATCAGCTTTATGCAAATGTAATCCAGTATAAATATTGTTCCAATTGTATCGTTTTAATAATATTAATCCTCAATTTTAATTTAGTTTCTCAGGATGTTCAAAATCTTTAGGTCAAGAGATCGAACATTTCTAGAGATCAAACATTTTAGTTGTGCATTATTCACTTTGTGTTTTTGTAAATAAATAATCCAGAGACTAGCTGATGATATATATTCATTTGCCCTATTCCAGAGGGTAGTGGTTCCTACTACCCTTTGAGCCTCAGGATCATCAAATGTCAATCAAATGAGGAGTACCAAATATTTTATCGCACCAGAATTGCACCAAATTCTGATGCTCACCAAACTGCACCAGGAAATCCAGAATGTATGCCCAATATTTTCCTAACCAGGATATCAATATTTATAAAACCCTAGAATTTTTGAAGTGCGATCTATTATATGAGCAATGGTGTAGTATTTACATATCCTGTACTTCCTACTTTGAAATAACTTAATTAAACGTATGCCGCTTAATCCTGGCACTTTCTTATGCTAACTTTTCATGAATTTCTTGGAGTTATCTCAGAATTTGGACTTCCTGTTCTGCATTATTCTCTCCAGTTCGATCAAATCTTTTGTTCAATCTTTTCCCTCCGAATATGTTCAGTTATCTAATCCATGCATATGTATTGAATTTCGTACAATCAATGTTTACTAAGAATATACTGGTGAAATTCCTGGTTTAATGTTTGAGGTTTTCCCTGCAATTTTATTCTAAGTTTGTATACATATGTTACTCATATTGTATATGTACCAATTTAATTAATTTTCTTGTTATGTACAAGTATATGTTATATTTTCAGCATCTGTATTTCATATATTATATTATGTACACATGTATATATGTTACTCATTCAGCACATAT